GTAAGGGTGTAGCCGGCCCACTTTACTTGAAGCCCAAGCCAAACAATTAATCGTGTAGCTTAAGAACTGGAAGATTTTAAAAGGGAGAAATCTGTAAGCTCCAATCAATTTCGCTCAATTCCAGGATTTCCGAACAGTCGAGAGCATGGGAGGCCACGGTGGTCTGAATATTCTCCCGCAGAAGCGATGGAACGTCTACAACTTTGACAACCGCGAGAAAGTCCGGCTCGACGAGGAAGCCGCGGCTCGGGAAGAGCAACTCAAACGCGAGGATGCTCATAAGCGTGATATGGAATTACGCCTCGAGAAGCTCAGGCAAGCGCGTGGATTGGCATCCGCCTCCACCAACGAAACCCCTAAACCCTCTTCTTCCGAATCGAGATCCGAAGCGATACTTAAGAACGATTCGAACCACGTCAATTTGTTCGAAGGAATTCGGATTTTCGACCCGATTGAAGAGAAAGATGTATCCAAAGACCAAAGGCCTGTTAAGAAGGTGAAAAAGGAACAGCCTCCGAGGGTTGTGACAGCAGAGGATCAGAAGTATAAACTAGGATATGGATTTATTGGGAAAGGGACAAAATTGCCTTGGTACATGGAAAATCCGGGCAACAAATCTGCTAAAAAGAGCAATGGTGATGATGAGGACATCATGATGCCTGTTGAGAAGAAGAGCAATGGAAAGAAGACGGTTGAGGAGTTGCGGAAAGAGCGGTTAGAGAGGGAGAAACGAGAGAAACATAGACAAAGAGCTCTGCTAATGGAGCAGAGCCGCAAAGATGGAGGGTTTTCTAAACGAAGATGAGGTGTGTACCCATAATGTCAAGGTTATTTTTCAAAATGCAATTGCTCATTCTGTATTCTGTTTAGTTTTGGATTCAATTGGGCCTTTTCTTTTTCAGATTGATGCTAGTGCTTTCAATGTTGTAGAATAGTTGAGTTTTAATTGTATGTGTGATGATAGAGATATATTAAAAAGTATTATCATGGACATTTTTTTAACTCCTATCCTTTTATAGTTTCCAATTATTCTGATGTATCTCAACTCTTCAGATAAGAGTAACCCGCATAATACACATGTTAATGTTCTAATTGTGTTTTGAATGTAGAAATTTGTGAAAATTATTACATCTTCTTCTGTTATCAATCTTTAAGATCTGAATCATATTCTTGTTTGTTTTCACTACTATCTTATTAATTGGTCATCTTCATCTTCTTATAAAGTCAGCGATATTAAGCCTATGCCGTATTATATCATCTAAACTGTTTAAAGTACTACTTCCTATGTTTTTTAGTTTAGCTCATAGAATTTTCATGGAATTTAAGTGTAAAATTTTCGAGCGTAGTGAATACTTTAGGAAAAAACGTTGTAAAGGCAATGAAGAGAAGATGAAAGAGAGTATGTTAATAGTCCATGAAAGGAACGTCCAATAACTGAAGAATTGAGGATGTAGTTAACATTATAAATTGAAGAAACATAGTGCCAAAGCTTAATGCCGGGTGTTTATCCATTGTTGCAGTTTTTGTTGGAACAAATACTGAGTTGAAAGTTGAAACTCCATTCTACAGTGGTCATGACTCATGACTTCTGGAGTTGGACTCTTCTTTAGGACGGAGTGCCTATATCTTTTCTACTTGCATGCGAAATATAGTTATCCGGGACTTGTGAGGCAGCTATAAGTTTAGATAGTGATTGATTTTGTAAAATCAATATCACATTATGAAAGATTTTAAACCATTCTCTTTGTTTTAGGATGTAGATGTGTGCTTATGGTTTTGGTTTTCCTCCTTGTGCAATAACCACTTGGGACTCATCTTTTCTTCCTTCTCTCACAATAAGTACAAAATTCTGCATGAAAGCTGAACTAGTATATCAATAATGGTACATACTGACTGAGCGACTGTAATATACTACGTATGTAGTATAGTCCCATGATTTTTCCTTGACCGTGGCCAATTGAATACATAATTGAATTACAGTGGCAGGCTTTGATATGTTTGTTTTATCATGTTTTCACCAGTCTGTCATAACTATGAATTTTATTTGTATTTTTTAGAAGAGGATTTATAGGATGGTAATGCCAACAAGCTCTCTCTGGTCGTGGTGGAGGATAATGGTGACCCTCGTGTGTTTTGCTGTTCAGTTTGCCTGAAAACCTAGAGATTGGTACATTAAACGGTTAGAGATGAGAAGTTCATAGTGCCGTTTTCAGTAAGCCAAGCCAGAGTATGATGCTAGTAATAGTCGACCTATTAAAAATTATATTCTCTTCGATTTGTAATGATGTTCCTTTGCCATCCTGAGTCGATATTGGTAAGACTAATGTGCCCTGTACATTGGCTGACTGCAATCAATGGTATATGGTGTTCAACTGATGTAAATCAGTCCAAGAGACAAAGATGAGTTTGAGTTCAATTTGATAGCTTGACTGAATTAGTTCCATCACTTCCATGATTCCATTATGGAATCTACTTCTCCGAGTATATTTGTGTAGTAACTACTGTATAAAAACATTGCACCCTCCTTTTTTATCCTGGTTTGAGACAGGCATGATACCAAAAAATGATCTCATGGCGGAGTTAAATTTCAAATATTGTTATGTCCCAAAATTATACTCTACGTTAGTGCTGGACTCGGGCCGGGCGGCCCGGCCCGGCCCGGAACCGGCCCGGCCCGGAACCGGCCCGGCCCGGTTACTGTTTGGCCCGGCCCGGGGCCCGGTGGGTCCACCGGTTCGGTTCGGCCCGGCCCGGCTGCTGGGCGGTTCGGGCCCGGGCCCAGGTTTTGGTGAACCGGCCCGGCCGGTTCGGGCCCGGTCCGGGCCGGATTTTAATTTTAATTTTTTTTTTTGAATTTTTTTTAAGTTTTAGGTTGGATTAGGTATTTTGGGCCATTTGAGGTGGTTTGGGATGGTTTGGGGTTGAGGGGGAGGGGTAGGGGATTAAATAGGAGAACAAAAAAATTAATTAATTGGGCCGGTTCGGCCCGGCCCGGCCCGGTTTGGCCCGGCCACCGGCGGTTCGGGCTCGGGCCTCCCTTTCCTGGCCCGAGGCCCGGCCGGGCCCAGGCCCGAACCGGGCCCGAACCGGCCCGAGTCCAGCCAGTGGCGGACCCAGAAAAATGGAGCCACGGGGTCCCTAAACCAATGTAACTCTGATTACTATAAAATTAATAAAATAAAATAAAATATTAAAGAAAGATAATGTTTCATAGTTAATGTATATCATAAAAATATTATTAAGAGGGTATAAATAACATGTTACATTAGTTTCGAATCCAGGATCGGCTTCCAAAGATTCAAATCAACATGTTATTCGTGTAGATTATAAGTCAAATTAGTTTCGATTTCAACAATTACTTGATTCATATCTTCATTTACTAATGATGAATCATTTGAACTAACATCTAAACTAATTCGGATACTTTGAATTTCCTTAAATTTGGATTCACTGCCGAAATATATTTTAATTTAAATCGTGAAATATTGAAAAAACATTAATAAATACATAAATTTATTAATTTAATATTAACATTCAAAGAAATTTTAATAATCAATCCCAAAAAAATGAATTACCCTATACAAAATGAACTACGCAAAAGGAGATACACAGGTAGCGACCGATCTGCTATGGCATGCCATTAGCGGGCTTGGTAGGGTTTAAAAAAAGGTGGAAACAAAGTAATTTTGGTCTTCTAAAATAAGAAGATTAGAAATAACAAAAAATTGCATTCAGGGGGTGTTGAACCCGTGACCAAGAGTAAAGAGAGGCTTTTGATATGCGGGCGTTCCCATTCCGCTAGCGCAATCTTTAGGAATCGTAGTCACATTTGTTATATATATAAATAACTAATTAGTTTTGCAAAAAAATAAATATAATATATATAGGTAAAGTTTTGGAAGTACACGGGGTCCCGGGACCCCGTGGGACCCTTAGTGGGTCCGCCACTGAGTCCAGCACTACTCTACGTTGGCCAAAAGAAGATGACATTTCTTGTATTTTACTCGATAATAATTTCAAAAAGGGTGATAAACAAGTTACAATAAGTGATTACGTGTAGCTGATCTAGCTGATCTTACACATAAAATTTATTTAACTAGGATATACTCCGTATGATTTATGACAGTTGTAGGTTTAAAAACTAAAATATTTTAAACTGATATATATATTGTATCATGCAAGTGTGTTGGTCGCTTCTCATTATTGGGTCATCAAAGATACGGAGTATATACAATGCTGCTCCGTAATCCGTATGAAACACTCAAAGGTGCATAGGAGCAATATGGTAAATGATGCTCTCATGATATCCAGAGTACCAGAAACATCTATTGTGTAAAGCAATAGTACTTATTAAAAACCTGGAGTGGACTCAATTTGTAAATTAGTTATTTTTTGCATTTTGGTATGTCACAAGATTGTAGACCCAAGCATCTTTTTGCTAGGAAGCACGGAAACTCTTCATGGATCACGTTTCCACGTTTCGGAAACTCGGAAGCGTTTCGGAAATTTGGAAACTTCAAATTCCCGTTTCGTGGCCGTTTCCGTAATTAAGAAAAATTTGGAAACTCGTTTCACTACGTTTCAGAAACATCGGATTCCAATTTTTTTTCTTTTTCAAAAGATTCTGTGGTGGAAAATAATGTTTATAGTGAATTTTTGTGGTATTTCTCAGCGTCAACACTTGTTACATTTCGTAACACAATGTATTGCTAGAAATGTATTACTCCATACATTTTATGTTTAATTATGTACTAATATGAAATAATATCTAAATTCAAACATGTAGAGTGATTTTATTATTTGGTTACTACACAAATTATATTAAAAAAAACATGTGCATATGGAAAAACGTGTGTACATATATTAAAAAATATTTATAAATATACCCTTATATTTTATAATATTTACGCATTTCCCCTACGTTTCGTGTCCTATATTTTTTAGAAATTACATTTCTCGTGTTTCGTGTTATACGTTTCCCGTTTGCGTGCTACTTAGTCTTTTTGTCAGGAAAAAGTAGGTTTAGCCTCTACCCAGAATGTCGCCTTTCTTCTTCGATCTCCAGCCTCCGCCCAGAATGTTGCCTTTCTTCTTCGATCAATCTCTTCTTATATGCGCTACCTTGCTTCGTATCCAGGTATTTTATCCTCCACGCTCCTTGTTTAATTTGAAACGCAGGAACGATCTTACTAGAAATTAAAAACTTGACCAAAAAAACTCCTATCCGTTTAATCGTTTATTAATCTTACAGGAAATGGTAAAGACTTAATCGTTTATTGAAGAAGCTATAGAGTCAATTACAAAAAGTACCAGTTTGAATGGTTCGTTGGAAGTGATGTACTAGTTTTAAAAATGCATATATGTATGAATCAACCGTTAGGCAATATTGACATTTGACACTAATAAGAGTATGAGCTTCAAGTTCTTTATCCGAAGTTCCGGTCTGATCTCATAACGGATGCCGTGGTTGCTATTTCATTCTATAATGGCTCTTCTACTGCTTTTCTTTTGCATGAAGCTGGGAGATGCCCAGATCTATTTGTGACTTTTTTCTCTGTTTGCTTTGTTCTTTTTCTTCGCGGTTTTCCTTTTTGTTTTGACTTTTTATTCTCTGTTTTCTCATTTGGATTTCCGTTTCTCTTATGCTGTTTTGACTTTTTCTTTCTTCTTTTACCATCATGTTTTGCTCAATCTGTTGTATGGAAAGATTCTTTTGCATTTTGAACCAGACACAATCCCTTCCCAATTGCATGTGAGTTTGTCAAGTGAAATGCACACATAAGACTAATCCTTAGTCATGGACTCGGGTCCGGGTCGGGCCTAGGCCTGGCTGGGCTTTTGTTTTTTGGTAGAAGACCCGGGACCGGCCTGGGTTACCACCGGATCCGGGTCGGGTCCATGGTTTTTTTTTGCTTTTCTTAGTAACCCCCGAGCCCCCCACCCCCCAAACCCTCCCAAAACACCCAGCCCAACTCAGGGAAAAGCCCAAAACAATGAAAAAACAAAAAAAAGGAGGCCCGAACCAGGCCCGGGCCGGGTCACCATTTGTTCAGCCCGAGCCCGCACCCGCTATTACCTCCGGTCCGGGTCAAAGACCGGTACCGGGCCCGAAGCGCCGGGCCGGGCCGGTTCACGGGTCGGGTGGCCCGAACCGAGTCCAAGACTACTAATCCTTGTAGACATCTGAATTTCAGCACCTAAAATGTGTGTGTCTAAGATGACTCTTATCTGGGTGCAGACAAAGCCTAGCTTTCTGATAAGCCTTCCTCACTCTGGTACTTTCAATTTAGCATGTCAGATGAATTGCGAGCCAACCACTGTTAGGCCAAACAATCTGAAACCAGATGTTAAAGTGGATCGTTCTTCATTTGCTAATAATCCACATAAGAATTGAGACGAGGTATAAAAAACAGTGACAGAACCTACACAATGCAGAGTCAAGAGAAGCAACCGGGTGTCAGCTTCCTTGCCAGTTGACCATTACCTTATCTTTTCATCTAGTGACTCCATTTCCATCTGCACTTGTTTGAAAGCAAAAATATGTTCTCACGGTTCTCAAATTTCTCAGATAATCTGTTGTTTCAAAATTATTGCTTAGTTGCAAAGTCATCCTATAATTCAAAATATATTAAATAAAAACTAACATGTACAGTCTTCACTATCCCCTTTTAGATTAATGTTTTAGGATGCAACTTTATGTGTTAATATGGCATTAGTCTTTTTTAAACGATGAAACCTATGTGTTAGTATGCCGGCTGTGATTTGTTTTCTCGGTGTCCTTTAAAGTTTAAATCATTGGGTTCAATGTGGATTATTGACAGAAAAACAAGAATACAATATTCAAGATTGGACAGAACGTTGACCATTGTATACCATAAGTCCATAACATTCCAACACTAACATAAAAGATGAAATACTCAGCAGAGGGTTGAGAATATGGAATCTTACATTAGTCTCAAGTCTCAAACATTTGTCTTCCTTCTCCTTCTACACGCTTGTTGACTTTCTCTGCCTACAGAAGTGCGTCACCAAAGATGGTTTGATGAAAAACCAAAATCTAAAAAACAATGTTAATCATGTACTCCCTACGTCCCTCTAAAATTCTTCTCACTTTTTTGGGACGCCCCAAAAAATTGTTCTCATTTCCTTTTTTGAAAAGTTTTGTGTGGCTCATTTATCTTTTTCTTACTCAACTATAATCACACATTTGTACTTTATTCTCACGTTCTTAAACTCTGATTCAAGTTAAACCGAGAAGACTTTTAAGAGATGGAGCAAGTACAATTTTGAAGTGTTTCATGAGGACAAATAATTGAGTTATTTACGGCTTTTAACTCATTCTTATCATTTTGCTCATCAGAAGAGTGACATGTGCTCGGCATGTGTGCAAAATATGAATTATCACTAAACATATAAGGTTTATGAACATTAAATAGCAACGTTGTCTTCCAAGAGGTTGAACTTTGAGGTGGATTGGAGCTTAGTTAGAAATCAGAATATGTAGCCAGTGAGTACCTCTTTCTCCTCTGGGATCACTTGTGAACTATTCTCAAAGCTGTGCAGCCTGTGCTTCTGAAATTTCTTTTTCGCCCAAGCTATCGCTTCATCCACACCAATCTCTTCATTAAAAACTCCTCTAAATCTTCTCCCATTGATATCAATAACATATGAGCTCAATAACTAGTGGCGGAGCCAGACATTTAGAGTTAAAGGGGCCGGTCCTTAACAATTTTAAATTGCAGGGGCCAAAGTGTAAAATATCAATATCCTTTCTACAGATTAAAAGTATTTATACATAATATATACATAAGATTTTTTTTTTCTTGCGGGGGCCGTGGCCACCTCCAGCCCCTCCCTGTCTCCACCCCTGTCAATAACTTCACCTTCCTCGTATTTTTTGGAGACTTTTTGATCTCTCATTGCTCTTCTTGAACACACCATAATCTATCATGTTATTTTAAGGTATTGTTCTCTTACTTCTACAATAAAAGTTTTTCATCAACTTACAAAGATTACTGATGTTTAATTGGTTGGTCACTTTATAGAGAAAATTGTCCAACATGAGACTAAAACTCAACTTTTTTCCCAAAATAGGATCACATTCATGTTTTTCCCTAAATAGGACCAACCTTACCATTTTTACCCCTAATCCTATTTAATTAATTAATTAATTGATCTAAATAATTGTCCCCCTAGTTTCCTTGCACAACCAAGGCAGTCCTTCGGTGGCGAGGCAGTCCATGGTGGCGGAAGAACTCCGGCAGCCGGTCAGCAGCGAATTTCGGCGGATTTTGGTGGCGGCGGCGAACTCCAGCAATTAATTAACCCAATTAATTGTCCCCCTAGTTCTCTTGCACAACCAAGGCAGTCCGTTGGTAGCAGGTCAGTCCGGTGGCGGCGGCGGCAGTTTCTGGCGGCGGCGAACTCCGCCGGCGGCAGAAATGCTAGGAAAAGTCCACAAAAAAATCTGGAAAATTTTCCAGCAGTGGTCGCCGGAGCTCTGGCAGAGGCTTCGGTCTGGCGGCAACTGGTGGTGTTCGGCAGGAGGCAGTTGGCAGCAATCCTGGGGCAGCATTAGGGGTATTTTGGTCTAATCACATATAAAAAGTCATATTTAAGAATGTTTAAACTAAATGATCCTATTTTGAGAAAAATGTCATGTTTTACTTCTACTGGCGTAAAAAGCCCTACTTTATACTTCGTATATCAAGATTTTTTGTTGACACTTCGTACGCAAGCTAGTAGTATGGGGGAGGTGGTGGATCCGGAGCCTCTACCTTACTTTAGAGTAAGGTAGAGTGCCTTGCTTCCTTCCGGTCGTCCGATCGACAATTCAACGGTCGGAGATCTTGGGCTCCACTTTTTCGCCGATCTCGAGGTCGTGTTGGCCGCTCCTCTCCCGTCCGATGCGCAAGGCACCCTCCTAGTCGGGTAGAGGATCCCAATCCGGAGGTGGTTAGGGACAAATTGAAGATTTAAAGTCAAAGAGCGAAATCTTTTCGCTAGTATAAGGCTTTATCGATTTTTTATTAAAAAAAATATCATTATCAGAGATGCCACATTTAAATATGCACATTCTCATTCTACACAATAAGCAAAATAAATTAGATTTTATAATTCAAGCAAAACATAAAAAATGGCAAATAAAAAAAATTGTAATAAAAAAGTTAGAATTTTACCAAATTACTGATGGCAAATAAAAAGAAATGTAATTAAAAAATGGAATTTTATCAATTCAAGACCCGAAAGATAAACGAATTATCAATCCGGGACCTGAAAGATGAAATGCATTGATATAAGACTCGAATGATGAAAAACTATCAATTTAGGACCTGAATGATTGAAAACTATCATTCTAGGACCTAAGTTGTGATAAATTTTGTAATTTTTTTTATTTTGAAAATTTTAAATATTATTTAGTTTTATTAAACTAATAAACTTTTGTGAAGAAAAGTTTTTAAAAAATTAGTAATGGAATTAATAGAAAATTAAATAAATCAAAACCTATGAAATGTTAGGTCTTAAAATGATAGTTTTTTATCATTCGGATCCTATATCGATACGTTTCATCTTTCGGGTCCTGAATTGATAGTTAATCTATCTTTCGGGTCCTGAATTGATAAAATTCCAAAAATGGAATTTTACTAAACTATTGGATGATAAAGAATCTTATCAAATCAAATTTAGACAATTTATAGTAATGAAAATCTTGGTAAATTAATTCACTAAGTGTGGTTAATCAAGTGTTCACCCGTAATTTAGAGTGTCATGGATGTTTGTGAAACTCAAATGGGAACTTAGCAATCCTTAAGATCGTTTTATCTTCACCCCTCCCTTTTATTATAGCTAATCTTCAAAATCTTTCTCCTTCCAAACCCCCAAATATACCCAAGGATTGATCAACATAGCTAAGCTTTCTTCCTCTATAGGGAGCTAGTCTCCAAGAGACTTGACTACTATCAATGAATGAAAAACTTTGGACGAAGTCTACGTCTACAAATTACAATCTACATCTCCGTAGCCATTTATCACGGGAGAAGATGGAGAAATGAAAGATAAAGAAATATACGAAGTACTAAAGATTAATGAGAGGCCGTGAAAATAAAACATCGAGCTCAAACATTACCCACGAATAATGACACTTTTAAGTCACATTTAGCCGCTATTAAACACATGCTTTTGTGTAATCTCAAAAATGAAGAACTCAATCGTGAGTACATGCTTCCTCAATATGCAAGAATGACATGGAAGCTTCCATACACATAGAAGTGACCTTTCACCGTCCTAGTATCTAGTTTTGATGTTATAAATAGAGAATTTGGAGAGTCTCTCTATCATCAAGTAAATTAGATTATGGAAGCTTTCATACACGTAGGAGTGATCTTTCACCGTCCTAGTCCTAGTATCTAATTTTGATGTTATAAATAGAGAATTTGGAGAGTCTCTCTATCATCAAGTAAATTAGATCATAAATCATCATACAAGCTCATATTAACATGATCCTATTATTCCCAACAAAACAAAAAATGACTCTTATTACCCTTATTTTTGCATTGAATTTGTCTTTTTTAGCATTGACCAATACACTTTCCTCTCATATCTTACTTATCTTTTTTAGGCTTGAAAGTGTACCTTAACTCTCTGTCTCATAACAGGTACATTTATAATAATAATAAATCTAATATTGCGTATTTCTTAACTTTCCCGTATTCGTTGATTTTACAATACATTTTACAAATTAGAAATGTAATAGGATAACATTATGTGCACACAGATATAAAATTAGGTCTTATGTTTATCACTACATAGAGGCCCTCTTTGTCCTCTACTTCCATAATCAAATGGAATGAAAAACCCATTTTTTATAACCCAATGTGAACATTATTCCCTGAATTAGATCGTGAATTTAATTCTGGTGTGAATTACCGTTTGCTTTATTGCGATTCGTTTCATACACGTTGGGCATGTACATTTTTTAAACAATTTTACGGCACCATACAATTTGGTAGAACTTTTTAAGAACTTCTACAGATTTTTTAATTCTTGTGAAAAACTTGAGTATAATACTGCAAATTCTATTCCTGAAGGGGTATCATTTATCTTATAACACCATTACTGTAAATAAGAGACGTTTGGGTAAAGGAGCTTTATTGAAGATTTGAAGCAACCAAAGCTTGGGATACACACACATCACCATCAATTCTCAACACAACAAAAAAAGTGAACACTAAAGCGCTAAACCCATCATCTCAAGCCTCAGTAACAATTAAGCCCTCCCACTCAATCTACATTGACTTGGAAAACGTCTTTCCTTTCTTCCTGCTTCACCTTCGGAACAGCTACCTTCAACACCCCATTCTTCATCCCCGCCTTAATGGAGTCAAGCTTGTACAGATTCGGGGGAATGTCCAGCCTCGTTGAATACCTTCTTCGTCCGTAATCCTCTCCATCGTTCTTCTTTGCGTCCTCGTCCACGGACTCACCTTTAATCAATAGCGTGTTATCCTCCACGCTGACCTTGACGTCGCCCTTGTCCAGTCCTGGCATGTCCATCTTGATGTAGAGCGCGTTCTCATCCTCCCGCACATCCCAACCCCTCCTCGGCGCGGCGGCAGGAACAAACCCGCCGAACGAGGCAGCGAGCGGATTCTCGAGGAATTGATCCATCATGTTTAGCAGCTGGCTTACGCTCCTCGGGGGCGAAAGCGGATCGAAGGAATCTGGAGAAACATAACAGAAAAAATCACACCGTTTATCTCAACTGAAACCTAAATACCAAAATACGGAGTGATATGAAGGTAACCAAACGAAATTTAGGAGAAATTGGAAGAATATACGAACGACAGTACTTGCCTGAAAAGACGCCAGGGGAAGAGTCGCGGCGGCGAGAGACAGATCGGCCTGAGCGGCGTTCAACGTCGACGTCGCGGTCATCGTCCTCGTAGGCCGTCATCTGAGCATTGGTGTTGAAGGATCTGAAAACAGAAGGGGCGGCGGCTGCCTGGCGCGCAGGGTTGACGAACTTGTTGAAGAGAGCAGATGTGGTGGCGGCAGCTCGCCTAATAGCCATTGAAGAAGCCATAGTTCTCTGTGATATTGAAAAGAGAGGAAATTGAATCGATCTGAGCTGCTTTAGTGCACAGTGAACTCTAAATTCCCTTTGAGATGGTTTGAAAATGGATGGCACGCCCCTATATAGTGGAAGTGAAAAACGGAAGGTGGCTTGGGGAAGGGGAAGACGATAGTTCCAGAGAGTGAAAATGAAGACTGTAGAATGTTCGGTTTCCGCTAGATGGTTCTAGACGTTATACTCCGGTAATAGATAAACGAGATTTATTTATTTATTTATTTTAAACGGCTATCAGGTCAGATTTACACTTGGCGAGGCTCATCCGTGTTCACCCGTTAATTTTTTATACTCCATTCACCCGTTCATCATCCATTAAAAATAATATCCACATCCAACCCATCCATCTTAAACGGGTTACCGGGTGGATCGGGGTGAGTTGCGGGTGAAATATAAATAGTCAAAATGAGACAATAAATAATTTACAAAGAAAAATCATGACAATTAAAAATCAAAAATTAAGAATTCATTGTAAAATAACAACAAAAACATGAGCAATTAAGTATATTACAATAATTAATTCACTGTGCGGCTACTCCGTTGTCCCTCGGAAATCGGAATCTCGGCTTTTCAGAGTATCTGTCTAGGCGTCCACCTCCAACTCTCCAAAATAGGGCTAATGAGATTAGCCGATTAGTAATTCAGGAACATATACTCTGTAATATGTATATGGAGTAACATATATACGTGTTTAAGTATCTAACTATGTATTAATATATTTATATTAACTATTATTATTATTATTATTTATTAAGTATATATGGAGTATAATATATATTATATTTTTTTTGTATGCGGGTCAACGTGTGGGTGGATGGAACGGGTGACGGGTCGGGTAATGGGTTGGATGAGTCTTCATCCACACCTGATCCATCTCGTCTTTCAGTCCACCCGTCATCCATTTTTCATCCATACTTCTTCGGGTTTTCGTCCATATTTTCGGATCGGATTGACCGGGTATCCGCGGGTGCGGGTGATATTGTCAGCCCTATCTATGCTCATCTTTCTACTTATCTACAATCCTTCCGTGCTCCATTGTCTATTTGCAATTCGACATTTTCTTTGGATCAAACTAGAAAAATCTTATCCACATTTATTTATGTAAATACAAATAGAAAATATATTAGTGTGGGTGGATGGAACGGGTGACGGGTCGGGTAATGGGTTGGATGAGTCTTCATCCACACCTGATCCATCTCGTCTTTCAGTCCACCCGTCATCCATTTTTCATCCATACTTCTTCGGGTTTTCGTCCATATTTTCGGATCAGATTGACCGGGTATCCGCGGGTGCGGGTGATATTGCCAGCCCTATCTATGCTCATCTTTCTACTTATCTACAATCCTTCCGTGCTCCATTGTCTATTTGCAATTCGACATTTTCTTTGGATCAAACTAGAAAAATCTTATCCACATTTATTTATGTAAATACAAATAGAAAATATATTAGTGTGTGGAATATTGGCAAATTCATTTTAATTTTTTTTCTTTCTAAAATGCTAATTTATGATAATTTTAAGATAAAGTGCTTAACAATTGCGAATAAATATATGAATTGAATATATGACTGCCGATCATGTTAGGTCGGTTTGACATGACTCGCCGTCGGGCCGAGAGCATTTGTGTCCCTTACCGGTGCAATTTTTTTCATAAATTTTTTTTGGAACACATTTCATCATCAAGTCTAGTTTATTCTTACGAAATTTCAGCTAAAAATTCAATTGAGAAGACAGTCAAATAAATTGTAGAAAAAAGTTGCATTATTTATATATAAGCACAGTTTTTATAAAAAAGTATTTAACTCCCTTCTCGATGAAACTTTAGGTTGAAATTTGGTATGGATAAAGTAGACTTGATGAGGAACATGCTTAAAAAAATTATCAAAATATTCTACCCAGAAGGACCCCGGATGACCTCGGCCTGACGGCAGTTTCCATCAGACCAGCCTGATATGATCTGCCCTCTTATACAAATTGATTATATTATCTCTTTCAATTTTCGGGACTACTTTATGTTCACTCGTACTTTAATTAAAAAGAAATGAGAAGTTAAAAGGAAAAAGGACAAATCTCTCTATATACAAACCAGAGTGGAAATCCTAGCAAATTTCCCGCCTAAAGTCACATGTCAATTGTCGGGTCGGGTCTGATGCAACGGGTTTGGGCATTTAGCTGAGAAAATAGTACTACGGGCACTTCCAATTTAATGCTTAGAGCAACTTTAATGATGCTGTGGATCGGTAGAAATGGAAGGCCACGTATACTAAATCGATAGTGGGATACAAATATCCTCTCCAATGGTAGTGTTTATTTTTTTAGTTGTGCTGATGTGGAAGTGCAAATGGTAGAAAGTGTCTCACGGTCTGTCTCAGTTCAGCAAGCCCATCAAACATGCTGACTCAGCAAAAATTAATGTTTTAACGAAACTTTTTGGCGGTAATACAAGGCGGTAATCGAAAACCATCCACCAAAACAAAAAATCCACCGCTGAAAAAAGGCAAAGGTATTCTCATCTTATAAGAACGAAGCACAGGAGGCCAAGTCGAAGCTAGGTTTTCTCCGCTGGTTTTTTTCAGAACACGGAGCATCCAGGTTTTTTTACTCACTCTTTAATCTGATTATCAACCATGACATAGTGCAATTTGATGATTAAACGGATGTTAACAAAGAATCACAAGTAAATTCAATTACATTACATCTACTTAAGAGATCTATGCTTCGTTCCTCTTTTTAACATACGTAATTTCAATTATAATTTCATTTTTACATCTACCTAGTTTAATTTTTACATCTATGATTCGTTCCTGATTTTTTCATCTGCTTTTCGTAGTAGATGCTTTTATGCTAAACACATGCTTTTTAATCACTGATTCTTTGTTCCTGCTCCAATTGAAGTAATCATAGTATTATTTGAGATTTTTCTTTTAATGGTTAGGTATCGTTAATAATTCTTACATTTGCACTTTATATGTTGTATGGTTCAAGTCTCTTTACTTTTGTTGACAAAAGCTCTCATTATTTAAGAAATGCTCTCTGGAGCTTTGCTTCTCGGAAAGACATGAGTTATGCTAGTTTGTTATCCAGCCTAGTTAGTATTTGAACTTTGCTTCTAGGTTCTGTTTGAATATGCATTATGTATCCATTACATTACCATTTTTCAGTTTTACGCTTGAAACAGATGGGCTATTATATGCAACCTGATACATATATAGTCATCGCATTAAATTCTCCAAGTTTTGCAGATCACATGAATAACTTGAACTACTAACATGCTCCAAAAAGGGAAACTTGCAATATCAGATTTACTAGTATGATGATAATTAGAATAATAATTGTAAAAATGATGCAATAGGCGGTCTGCATCACTAAACAAGCAATGAAGTGGGTCTTGAAAACTCCACAGAAGTTCCAAAATAAAAAATTTGTTTGATTATGCATTGTGTATCAATTACATTACTATTTTTCAGTTTTACTCTTGAAATAGGTGGGCTATTTATTTTAATGAAATATTGATTTTCTACATAGATGGAGCCGACATCGCATCCCTCCTTTGTGGACCATGAACATCTCCAGAAAGATAGTGAAGTAACTGATCTTACTTCTCTTTACGGTAATGCTTCACAAATCAACTCACAGTCATCCATGCCTGCATTGAACCAATACGGTCTAGCAAACATGCCTTTTAGTCCTAACTTTATGATGAATCCATCGTTTGCTCCTCGTGCTCACTCACCTTTGGGATATGGGTTCTCTTTTCAAGACCTTTTACACTCCCCTAATATTCCATTCGAGAGTCCTGTTACTAAAACAAGCAGAGAACCAGATAAAAGTAACAAGAGCAAACAAAATGCGCGTATCTCTAATACAGGCGGAGGCTCCAAAAATTGGAGCAAAGACGAAGATGTAGCACTAACACAGGCGTGGCTATACATTTCCGTTGATGCCGATGTTGGTAACAATCAAAAAGTTGCTAATATGTGGAACCGTATATCCCAAATTTGGAGGGAGAAAATGGGAACTTATGACGAGTCGCGCACGACAAATAGCTTACAATGTCGTTGGAACAAGATCGTAGCCGCAGTTAACAAATTTCATGCTTTATATGAACGACTACAAAGGCAACCAAAAAGTGGAGCAAGCCAAGAAGATATGGTAAACAATACTTTATAACTATTTGAGTTGTTAAATTGTATTCTTATTTCAATTGAAATATTACTATCTGCCTTGATTTTATAGTGTGTTGTTTGAGTGTGTGCAAGAATTGACTTTTTATTTGCAGAGGCGAGAGGCAATGCGCATGTATGAGGATATTAATGAAGGTCAATCTTTCAAACATGAGCATTGTTGGGAGATCATGAAAACAAATTCAAAGTGGTGCACGAAGGAGGTTAATAGGACCAAAGATTTGTCCAAGCAAAAAACTGCCAATGCTAGTGGTCATACCCAAGAATCAATTCCACCAATGAACTCAGGTAATGAAGACCAAAACTGTATCGATCTTGATGTTACTAGTGATGGTAAGCGCAGTGATATTGAGCGTCCTCAAGGACGAAAAGCTACAAAAGAAAAAAAAAGGAGGCTGAATGATGAAAAAAATGTCGTTGACGCTTTGAATAAGATACACACTGTCTTGGATAAACAAGTTTCTGTTAATGAGGAAGAGGTCAAGATGAAGAAGGAGAAAGACTTAAAGGACTTTGAATTGCGAGAAAAGGTAATGCAAAAAGAGTTGGAATTTAAGGAAAGAGCTGAAAAGAGAAAGGAACTGCAGTATATTTTGAACCAAGATGTCAACAAACTTCCCTTTAGCATGAGAGAGAGATTTGAGATGTACCAATCTCAAATTTTTAAGGAATGGGAAAACAATGGACGATTTGGTAATTATAGACTTTCCTACCATTTGTGTTACTTACTTTTAACTATACTAGTTATAAACAATAATCAATTTAAAAACTCATTACTTTTATAATGTGTGACAGGTGTGAATAACAGTTAATGAAGTTCAGCTGTTGATGAAGACAAGTATTATAATTTAGTTGAATACTGTGAAGGCTATTGATTTATTGTTTATGGTTTTTTGTTTCATTTTCTATTCTTGAACATCCTTTTATTTTTTAGAAGTACTTTTGTTTATGGAATATTAGAGAAAAGATCCAGTTTCTGTTAAGTCTCATGCAGCCTTTTGAAAAGATTGTTGCTTTCTTTTAAAGTCCATTACTCTGCTTTCTATTAAAATTGATTACGGCTTTTCTCATGAGATACTAGTGAATGACTGAATGATAGTTGAACTAGAAAACTGCATTTTTGTGGCATCACTAGTTCTTGAACAAGATATATATCTTGAATGTTGAGGGGTAACTAATCCCAATGTTAGAAGCATGACTCTCGTTTGCCCTACTTTTATTGTATACAAGGAAATTTTTGTCATATGAGAAGGATTATTTTTGTCATATGGGTACAATAAAGGGCCTGAGGCGCCATATTAAAAGTCATGGCTTTTTATATAATAAAAAAAATAATGAATGAATGCTTAATGTGAACATAGGAAAAGTAAACTAGAAAAAAGAAGTAGAGAAAAATCTTCCTAACCTTTGCCAGGATTGTATTATTCCTACAATGGTTTCTACCCATTTCCATCGAATTGTGTTGCAGATAGCAATAAGGGGACAATCAAAGTTGTAGTTGCATATAAACCTCAATTTCTTTGAAAAAATCTTTTTGAATAAAATTGTGTCTTTTTTTATTCTATTTCAATTTCTGGGGAAAAAGCTCACTGATATGGGAACAACGACCTTGCTATCACTGTGGTATTAAAAGTGAGTTTGAAAATATCATATTTTTTTAATATTTGAAATGATTTAATTGATAATACTCCGTATTTCCATTGTGTGCTTCTGAGATGTTGGTCATGCATCTTTCTGAAATGGGGTTGAAAAAGCTATTCGGTACTTTCATGCTGTTATAGCCGTACTTTCTTGCTATTAGGTACTTTTCTGCTGCTATATGTACTGGGATAAAACTTGTGCAGGATTGGAGCTCAGGTCTTGTTTGATCTGTAAAGCATTTAACTCTATTGATATGTGAAAAAAATGAATGAAAATGTGGGATAACATAAACATGATCATATATTATCACACACAGACGTATGCAGTATTAAAAGTAATATCTATGACTGTAGGAAACATTTAGATAGAAGTTTAGAAATTAAAACTATTTCAACAGCAAAATGTACGTGAAAAGATACATACTTTTCTTTCAATAAAACTAACTTGCTGCGCTAGCATCATCTTCCAGGCCACTGTCTGGCCACTGACTGGCCACTTCAAGTAGCATGCATTAACTCAAATAAGTTCTCATCTTGCCTCTGTATTAATTTTATTTAGAATACTTATGTATGAAATAATAGAAGTGTTCATAGGATAAATTTTCTTGATTTAAAGAATGATATGTACCATATTTCTTCAAAATACTATATACGTACACAACTAACATATTGAAAATAACAAATTCAAAACTAAATAATTCTATCAAATAACAAACACAAATCTGAGAACAATAATTAAGAGTATAACATCATACTACAGAAACAACATTAAACACTAATGAGTATTATGAGTCTTTCTTATTAAAAGATATAATATAATATCAACTTGTTTGCTGACCACCATATAACTCCCATATATGATTGATGAGATCACTTTTTAAATCCCTATGAACTCTTTTATCTCGCACTTGTTTCATTCTTCCAATCATTCTAGAGACAATAAAATTATAATCACGTTCTAATTCCACGTTTTCAACTCTTTCGTCTCCAAGAGGTTGCCAATTTTCAGGATCCATTCCTTGGCTACTTTCACTCTCAATGATCATATTATGCAAGATGATACAAGTCTTCATTATCTTCCCCAAATCTTTTTCATTCCACATGCGTGCGGGGCCTTTTACAATATGCCATCTACTTTGAAGAACCCCAAAAGCACGCTCCACATCCTTCCTTATAGATTCTTGGCGTTGAGAAAATATTTTCTCTTTAAGAGAAGAAGGCTGAGAGATAGACTGCATTAATGTAGCATATTGTGGATAAATTCCATCAGTCAGATAATACCCCATGTCGTAATGATGACCTTGCACTACATAGCTACATGGTGGTGAAATGCCATTAATAATATCATCAAATAGTGGAGATCTATCTAATACTGTTATGTCATTATTAGTACCAGCCATTCCAAAAAATGCATGCCAAATCCACAAATTTCTTGAAGCAACAATCTCTAATATGAGAGTTGGAACTCGTTTAAAACCATTTGTATGTGTACCATGCCAAGCGGTTGGACAATTCTTCCAATGCCAATGCATACAATCAAGACTCCCTAACATACCAGGAAAACCTCGCCCTTCTGCTTCTTGAAGAAGGCCCAAAATATCTTTTTCGTTTGGTTTTCTCAAATACTCTTGTTCAAAAACACTTATCACAGCATCACAAAAATGTTTAAGGCTTTGAATTGCAGTGCTCTCCCCAATTTGAACATATTCATCCAAAAGATCAGCTGGACAACCATATGCAAGCATCCGGACCGCAGCTATGGTTTTTTGTAAAGGACTTAATCCTTCTTTTCCGGTGGCATCAAACTTTAAAGAGAAGTAACTATCATTTTTTTCTATTGCTTCCAATATGCGAGTAAACAGTTTCACATCCATTCGAAATCTTCTACGAAAATGATCTGGGGTATACTTTGATTGATCACCATTGAAATAGTCTTTCATAATTACCTCATGACGTTCCTTTCTATCGCGCTGAATGTAACGCCTGCGACATCTTATGCCCCCATTAGCATGCTTCTTGCCTCTTAACATTGTTGAAACTGTTATAGAAACATGGACGGCAGTGGTATGAATCAAATCACGACTCATTTTTGAACTACTATCATCTTCTTTTGACAGTTCACCATACAATTTATTTGTCAAGGAGAACGCATCACAGTCAGATGATGAGCTATCACTATCAAGTTCTGACTCTAAAGAAGACATTACTATCACCTGCAAGTTAAGAAAAAGTGCAAGATTGAAAATAATCTCTAATTATTATACTATATATGTTGCTTCAGATTGAAAATATTTTAATCTCTCATGAACAAAATTTTCTGAAACACTTAAAATGCATAACATATTCAAACATAAACTTGTTTAAGCGAGCATCTAATTTTAAACGTGCCTTATAATTTATTCGTATATGACAAATACTATAAATGCACTAACACCTTAATCATTTATTTGCTAAATAAAGGCTTCAGCGGCACTACGTACACACACATATATACTACGTGTGTGTATATATATATTCTAGGTTTCAGAAACCGCTACTCATCATCACACAACAATGAATTGGGGATGTATATGAAACATTATATTAAAGCGCAATAGCAAAATAAGATGAAAAAAATTCAAACTTACCTGCGGCTGATTAAAGCGCAATAGCAAGTTGGAGCTGACCTGCGGTTCTTTTTTCAGATCGCGTCTTTGGAAAAAGAAGACGGCTGATTTCAGTTGAATGATGTGGCATATGAATAGGAAAGACTTTAAAAAATCCACTACACCGTTGGGGCCTAAAAATAATATTAAAAGTTTGTGTGTCCACCTCAACGTCATGGGCTGTCCATATATGTGACATGTCCACTTTTAATGGGGTGCAATCCACATTCCCATTAAAGATGCTCTTAGTACATGGAGAAGCCAGGATGAATAGACAGGCATTAAATGCGGAGCTTTACTTTAGTCGATTTGCGTATACGGAAGATTTTTTACCAAAGATTTGTTTTGATTTATTGTTTGATATACAATTGAGGCCAAATGTGCAGACTTGGTTCGTAGTAACCAAGAAAGTCGGTATGTGTCAAATCCTACATTTATTGTTCTAGATCTCATATATTTTGAATTGATACGGCCTAATATCCAAGGGATAAAATGTAAATTAACAAACAACCAATTCACTATAAATATGGTTCCTATACAAGTGAAATTCCACAAAACAATAAACTTCATTGACGCTTAGGGAGAGAGTTGTGTGAGCGCAAGAAATTCCAGCCACAATTAGAGGGCAGAAGCTGGAAATTATTCTACAGGACAACCGGGCTTCTATGGATCCTTGCCACCCTACAAAGGTAGAAAAAGTCAAAATAAAACAAATACGGAGTAATATCCATATATTTTCCTTTTTTCAATATTTATATCCATATTTTTTAATCCGTACCAATTAATATCTATTTTTTTCTTTTTATTTCGCAGTGGCGATTGAACACAATTTAGGAATTATCAATGAAAGGGGAATTATGGGTAGTCAGCAAAACAAAGGTAATACTATGGATTCATAACTTATGGTGTTAATGTTACTTTTTGCATTCATAAGTAACACCGAATGATAAATGTAAATACATAAGTGGATGACCGGTTTGACTATAAATGCAACACCTAATAATAAAGAGGGTCTCGCTCAAAGGACATTTAAAATGATTTACAAACAATAGTAGTACAAAAATGCAGTAGAAAGAAAAATGGGCAGATGGAAAACTTTTTTTGGATTGCTAATGGTTTTTGTTAAAACTTAAATTGAATTATGCGTTTCTTTTAAAACTATTTCAATTCAGATTGCTAAATATTGTGAATTTGGTGCTTGAAACTACGATAAAGTGACTGGATTTGTGTTTGAAATTCCAAGTGTTCTGTCTGTTGTGTTTTTCAGGATAACAGTCTTATAAACTTGGAATGATGCTGGCCAGGAATGCAAACCAACACAATTGAGTATATCACTTGAGCAGGATGAAACAAATAAAGAGAGTACAAAGAACATTATCACAATGTCCAGAAAGCATAAAACTAATTCCCAGATGTAAAGCTCAACATTCCTTTATTGTTAAAGGAGAGAGAAATTATAATGCTCTATAAACTCTTCCCCACATATATAATAAACTTACCTTCTTTTAATTCGTACTGCAACCAATTAATGAAGTATTGGAACTCTCAGAAACAAAGAAAGCAATAATTCGGGTTGATTCTTTCAATATTTTTTTCACAAAAACAGAAGTATTAACATCTTATTATATACTCCGTATAAAAGATACACAAAATGTTTTCAAAATATACAGCCATCTTACTTTTTATTAAGTTAAATGTTCTAAATAAAAGATATTTAAACAAAAAAATTGACAGCCTTTCCGTAAAAGGCTATTCTAAAAACGGTGTTTAAGATTAAAAAACAGATACAAGATTTT